TCGAAGATGATAGGTTCTTCACGGGGATGAACCAGTGGTTTCAGGATCCGATTCAAGGACAGGGGAGGATCTTCAGATGGGCACGTCGACTTCAACACCTCAAGAACAAAATCAAGTCTTGGAATAAGGAGGTCTTTGGAGATGTCAACGTCAAGATCGATGAGCTCATCACTAAGATTTCAGACATCGACAAAGTTGAAGAGTCTCACCCTATTGATGATAACTTGAGAGCGACCAGAGACATCTCCAGAATCGAATTAGGAAGGCTTCTCAACCTAATTGAGATCTCTTGGAGGCAAAAATCACGCGAATGTTGGCTCAAACTTGGAGACAAGAACAGCAACTTCTTTCACAGGATGGCCAATTTCAAGAGGAAGATCAACAGAATTGATTGCATCAGAATCAGTGGAGAATTGGTAGAGGGTAAGCAGGATGTCGCAGCGGGGCTGGTTAATCATTACAGGAATCTCTTCCTTGAAGAATCAGCGACACGACCATTCCCCAGGCAGTATGTTGAACGTCGTATTTCGAACAACGATTGTCAGCTTCTCACCCGACAGTTCAGTGAGCAGGAAATCTGGGTGTGCCTTTCAGATTGCGATGGCAGCAAGGCACCAGGGCCTGATGGATTCACCTGGGAGTTCTTCAAAAGAGGATGGAATTGGATCAAGAATGACATCATAAGCGCCTTCAATGAATTCCATTCTACTGGAGTACTTCCTCAGAGCGTCACACATTCTTTCCTCTGCTTACTTCCCAAGAGAGATGTTGTCGAAGACCCAAAAGATTTGCGACCGATTAGCCTGATGGGTTGTATCAATAAGCTTTTCAGCAAAGTTCTGGCCAGCAGAATGAGGGATGTACTGCCTAATATTGTTTCTGTAAATCAGCAGGCGTCGGTTAAGGGGAGGCAGATTGGCGATGCCGGCCTCATTGCTTTCGAGCTTATTGACAGCAGAAAGAAAAGCAGAAAGCCGGGTTTGATGATTAAACTGGACATCGAGAAGGCATTCGATAATGTGAGTTGGGACTGCTTGTTCAAAGTTCTTTCCAACCTCGGTTTTCCTCGGCAGTGGAATAATTGGATTAAGGGCACGATGTGTTCCCCTCTCATTTCTATCCTCATTAACGGGGAATCCCATGGATTTTTCCCTATGCAGAGAGGACTCCGCCAAGGCGATCCACTATCTTCAGGTCTCTTCTCTCTTGTGATGGATGTTCTTGACTTTATGATCAACAAGCTCAAAGAAGACGGAAGAATTAAAGGGTTTTTCATGGATGAACAAGGGGAGCGCGGAGAAGTGACTCACTTGCTATTTGCAGACGACACCCTAATATTCTGCGAAGCATCCTACGAACAAGTTCTGAACGTGCTGTCCACACTTGTCTGCTTCGAAGCGGTTACCGGTCTCAGGATCAACCTGGAGAAATCTGTAATGTTCACAGTGGGAGACGTTCCAAACCCAGATTTTTTTGCGTCGTTGCTTGGGTGCAAATGGAGTGACCAGCCATCCAAATATCTCGGTTTTCCGCTCGGGGCTAGATTAAACGCTGCATCCACATGGGACCCCATCATACAGAAATACAGAGACAGGTTACAAGGATGGAAGAGTCGGTTTCTTTCATTGGGAGGCAGACTCGTTCTGAATCAAGCAGTGCTGTCGAGCCAATCTGTCTACTACTTTTCTATTCTCAAAGCTCCAAAGACGGTTATTAAAACTATGGAGAACATCCAAAGAAGGTTTATATGGAGCGGAACTTCAGAAGAGAGAAAGAACCCTTTGGTCAGCTGGGACTTGTGCAAGGCTCCCAAATCCAAAGGCGGGCTGGGTATTTTCGATCTTGTGAGCTTCAACAGCGCCATGCTCTCTAAATGGCATTGGCGTTTCGCCACGGAGACCAACAGATGGTGGAGAGAACTCATCAGCATTAAATATCCGAACCCACACTCCTCGTGGCATACCGGCAAGGTCGACGCGGGCTTCGCCAATTCGGCATGGGCGAATATTATGAAAGAGCACAACAGATTCTGGAATTTTGCCTGCATTGATCCCGGCAGCGGAGCTTGGACCTCTTTCTGGCACGATCGTTGGATTCCTGAAGCTTTGTTGTCTGAATCTTTCCCTCGCATCGCCGCCGCAACCAGCAATCCTGATGCTACGGTTTCCAGCAGCAGAGTATATTCAGGAAACGAGTGCAATTGGGGCTTTAACGAAAAATCAATTCCCGGGCATCGACAACTTTCCAGCCAAGGCAATTTGGAAACCGATCATCCCATCAAAAATATGTACCTTCATCTGGCTGGCGTACCTCGAGAAGAATCTTACCCTTGACATCATTAAAAGAAGAGGCCGATATTTGGCTAACAGGTGCGAACTTTGCAGGCAAGAAGAAGAGACGGCGAATCACATTTTCATACATTGCGAGTTCAGTAGGGAGGTTTGGCATAGAAGTCAATTGCTATGCTCGAGGATTGAGCCACCAGGAGACGATGTTCAATCTTCCATCAGCCGCTGGAATTCTGACATACCGGATGACCTTGAAGGTTGGATCAATTACGGCGCAATACATGCCATTCTCTGGCAGCTGTGGCTAGAACGCAACAGAAGAATTTTCCAAGATAAACTCCTCAACCCAGCGTCTATCTCCCTCAAAGCGGTCAGGTCCATGGTCGAGTGGCCCATTGCTACGGGTAAAGCATCTAAAGCTGATGGGAGGGAATGGCTTGCTGGGACTCAACAACGTCACCCTTTAGTATCTCCATTGTCTCTGCCTATCCTTGGGTCTGCAGGAGTGGCCTGATCCATTAAGCAGCCCCTCTGAGTCGCGGCTTCTTGGATGCGCTCTTTTCCTGTATTCTTTTCTTTTTCTTTTCTTTTTCTCCTCTCTTTTCCTGATGTGTAGATTCGTGATCTTGTGGTAGGTTCTGTTCTTGAGAACCTTACCCCCATGACTTTTTTCCTTTTTTCCTCGAGTTAATAATATCATTCACCATTATCAAAAAAAGTGTTAGCATTAGCAGTCAAAAGCTATGGAGAAACTGGTGATTGGGAGGAAAACAGGTTGGAGAATATAATGAGGAAGAATGAATTGGAGTCATAACTGTCTTCAGTTCAGGAAGGCATTGTTGGAATAATTTAGTTGTGTTGTTCCATTTTTTAGTGATTATTGCCGAGTGTTTATGTTGTTTTGATGAATAGGATTAATTAGCTAAGTTGTTTGTCGTGGGTGTGCGCTACGGTCTAGTAGTTGAGTAGAAGTAGGTAATCATAGATAGTGCGTTGTTGCTTTATAGGAAGTGGGTTGGTTGTTAGAGGTATGAGTCCGAAACTGTAGCTTAGCAGAAGCTTGGCTCCGTGTATATATTTGTTCCTTTGATCATTCAATAAAAGTAGTCAGTTTGCGTCATTGAGTTTTATCATTGTGGTATCAGAGCTCTTTGCAAGCTGGTAACAAAACTAAGTTAAGTGTGCGTTGCTGTGTAAGTGTGAGTGAATTTGCTTAACAGAGTTAGATCTTTGGGTGGGAAACACGAGTGTACTGGAAATGATCTGCAAGAAGAGGGAAAACACAACGGGTGAGTGTAAACAGAGAATTGTGAGTGTGAGAAATAAAATGAGTGAGTCTAGCAACTTTGCAAAAATGTGCATACCAAAATTTGATGGAGACTTTGAGCATTGGAGTCTTGTCATGGAGAACCTTCTTCAATCAAAGGAGTATTGGCAAGTGGTGAGTGATGGATTCAGGCAACAAAGAGAAGGAGAGGAGATGTCAGCCGTTGAAACAAAGGAGCTAAATGATTTGAAGGCCAAAAACTATCTATTCAACTCTATTGATAAGGTAATTCTGGAAAATATTTCCAAGAAGAGTACATCTAAGGAACCGTGGGATTCTATGAGATTAAATATCAGGCTTTGAGAAGAAATTTTGAGCTTCTTGAAATGAAAGAAAGTGAAACCGTGACTGAGTATTTTGGAAGAATTATGGTTGTGGTTAATTCCATGAGGAATTATGGTGAAGTTATGCAGATCTACATGTAAAATAGTTTTTACATTTCAATAATTCAATCTAAGTATAATGTAAAAGTGGGGTTTCTCCAACAGCACACCCGTTTTTCTAACATTTTACTTATAAAGTCTAGGAACTAATAATTCTTCATAATTTAAGGAATATAGATATCTATGATTTGTCCATATAACTACAAGGGTATCTCTTATTTTTCTCGCCGGTCACTTTCTCTTATAAATTCCACCTAAAATGGGTAGTAAAGCCTGCAGCAATCAGTCTGATGGAAAATAAAGCAAATTGGTTTTGCTTGCTAAGAATAAGATGCTTTTGTCTAGTGCCTTATACAAAGAGAGAAAAAAAACATAAAACCAAATTCAGTTCATCAGTCAAGCTCATTTTGATCCCCTCAATGAGATTGATATACATTATCTAGCCAGCCTTCTATCTCATGATACAGAAACAAGATAACCCTAGTTGGAAATGAGGGAAAAAAATAAAGATTTTTTTTATGAATGTGTTGACATTTTGATTTGTCAACACATGGACGATCGTCGTCTCTTTACTTGTAAAAACCTTTGTGTTTATTGATAAATATGATGCGATCGATCGTTGACATTTGATATGGTATTTACGAAAACAATGATGACAAAAACATTATCAAACTCAATTCCTTGATTAACTGACGACCCACTCGCTTACGGATTCATCGATCGATACACTATTTATGGTTGACAGAGAACAAAGCTCATGCTAATAGAATACGAATATGAGAGAGAAACCCAATCGATTCGATAATATAAAAGCAAACTCATCAAAAAATACAATTTGAAGTACAAATTAAGCTAGCTGTGAGAGGGGGCATGATGATTACGTTCTTCATCGAACTAATTAGCATACAAAATGATGATGAAACGATAATTAATTATTTCACCAGAAGTATTACTATTTATATATAACGTTACAATTTCTAATGTATATGTAATTAATTACTGTCATCCTGCAGCAATGTATGGTGCATACAATAGACTCGCCATAGCCTCTTGCAGCCATTCATCTTCTTCTTCTTCACCGCCAGCTTTATTATCAACCAGCTGGACATTATGTGTACCGACGTCGTTTTCATTGTATGGTCGGTTATTATCCTGGTGGAGATAATAACATTGGTGGGGATAGTAATGTTGGTGGCCGTCGTTTTCCGACAACCGCCGCTGCGGCGGCGGCGTAACCACGTCTTCTTCGGATAACTCGCTGCTGCTATTCCTTGCAAACCTCCCTCGCACACGTACTCTTCTGTCGGCCAACGTTTTCCGGCAAGCATACTGCATGTTTATGCACATGTTTTTAATTAACAATAATGAAAACAAATAAACACTTACCAATTAATTAGTTCATTGATATGAATTATAAAAAAGTTAATTATTACCTTGATGGTCTTGTTGAAGTTTCTTTGGTTTCTCTTGTTCAAATACCTTAGGATCCTGTCCTTCCTCTCCTCCGCCGTGTATTGCCCAACCTTCACGTCGGCACTAATATTACTGTTATTGCATAATTGCGTCGTCTTCTTCGTCGTCCCCTGGAAAGCAAAGTAAAGGACATTCACTAATCATAATTAACAACGTGATCAAGAATATAATCCATCAACCATGACAAATTAAAGCTATATGTATGCATGCTTACGTAATAATTGTCCATGTCAGCAGCTACTGCCGCAGCCGATGGAGCACGTACGTAATTAGCCGCCGCCGTCGGCTGCTGGCCATGGTAGCAATTAGTAGCCGCGCCAAACGACGCCGTTATTGATCCACCATCAACATTGTCAGTCATCCCGCTTCCGATATTATTGAACAATATCGCCTCGGGATCACGATCAGGAGAAAACGATGAAACGCGATCAGACTCGAACGAAGACGATGTCGTATTGAGAAGTTCATGAAGTGATGATGATGATATGGGCATGGCGGCGTAATGGTTGGGAGTCGTCGCGAATAAAGAGTTCTCCTCCTGACGATGATGATTGGCGACGAGGGATAGCATGATCTCCGACAGCTCTTCCTCGGAGAATTTGTTGATGATGAGCTGATCGTCGCCGTCGACGTTGAAGTTGGAGCAGAAGGAATAGTGCTGAGAATCCATTGGAGCAAAAAACAAAGGACGACGAAAGAAAGGGGAATTTTTGGGAAGTGGTGGCTTGTTTTTTTTTTTTTTAACTCTACAAGAAGGTTGTATATATAGTGGTTAATAATAATAATAATTATTATATATAAAATTAATTAGTTAATATTGACTGTAAAAAGTGGGGTTTCATCTGTCAAAGCAAAACATATGCAAGTTGGTTTTTACTTTCTAGCCGCCGGGTCTCGTTCGTTATATTTTTCCTATTACAAGAAGCTTTTTTGTTTTGTTTTTTTGGTTATTGAGGAACCGATTAATCAGCTAGATGAACAGGATTTTGTTAGCGAGTTAAACTAGCTAACTGATCAGACTTGATCTTAGTTTATTTAGTACTTAGTAGCGTAAGTTGGTTTTATGTGTGTAGAGGCAAATGATCCTAATAATGATTCCCACATAATTAGTTTGTCATTACGTTGTTGAACATATTGTATATTTGTATAATTAAAATGTTTGCAAGCAGACTCGTCACATGCAATCTGCAGGTTACTAACTAGTAACAGTGCTAAACCAGTATGCATGATGATACATTGTAATTACTTTCAGTTCGTCCTCTTATATTTACTTGGTTTTCATTGATTAGGTTAATTATGATCAAATCCAAAGGGCTAGCTAAAAGGATAGCAGCTTTACTCGAGTGATTAAACTAATGACAATATACATGTGCCCTAGAAACTAAACCCCACATATGATCCATATAGATTTCAAAGAGATCTGAGTGCTGTTTTCCATTGACCACAAAAGCAAAGGGAGGAGGAACTTATTGAAGAATAAATAAAGTGTGAGTTTGGAGGAACCATGGCCAAGGAAAACTAGAACTAACATATGTGGCCCAATTTTGCTAAAAGGGAAATTAGAAAACATTGAATTAATACTATTCCCTCCAACTATAAGTCCAGCCATTAAGGTAGGCAGTGCCCCAAAGATTTAAGGGTATATAGCTAGTTATAGGCTAGAATCAAAATCCACATGGCTGTGCAAGATTTGCATCCACATTCAAGTACAAACATATATCCCCCCAAAGATTTAGGGTTTCTTTCTTTCTTTCTTCCCCTCTTTTATTTGTCTGGTTTTGCTTGGCTTGGCCTGTAGCAGCATTTGGACACTGTTAGACCTCCCACTTGAGTACAAGCTCCCATTTAAAGCTAGCTAGCTAGCTTTAGGTTTGGCATCCACATTCAAGTAACAAGACTAAGGTATTACTTATTAGACTTACATGGTTTATTATTTGTGTGCCTACATGTCCACCTAAGAGGAGGGTGAGAGATGGATGCATTACTTTTCATAATAGAAACTATTTTTTTTATCAGTATGCCCACTAACGTGAAATATGAAATCGCCAAGAAAAAAAAAATATAAGAATTCTTGGTTGAAGTCTTAAATTAAACTTCCGGCATGCATGTTTGGTATTTTGACACATAATTTTTCTTCAACCAATTTTGTTCAGAAAATTACAAATTGAGTTATAAATAATTAAATATGAAAGCGTGAAACACCAAATGAATCATTATTAATTAAAAGTAATAGTAAAAATAATGAATGGGAATAAATTTGGTTCATGAATCTTTGTGGAAGTACTACATAACTAATCTTAATTTTATATGATTATTATATGTACTCTACTGATCAGAAATTATTGTGTACTCGGGAGTACCACGTCGGCATGCTGATTTGGTACTCCAGGCCAATCAAAATCTGCCAAGTATCATATTTGCTTCATTAATTAGTTTATTCTTCGCTGGAAACTTTTATAGATAATTGTCCATGTGTTCATGAAAAATGATTGCCATGACCCTTCACATCCCACGGCTCCCTTAATCGGCTCCTCGCGACGAAAAGGCATATTTCGATCGAAGGCACTGTCTTAGTAGATAGAACTATCACTCTTTTTAAACAAAGTGATTATTCCTTCTATAAAGAGGCCAAAATAATCTGCTAGCTCTCTAGTAACATCTAATTTTTTTCCTCCGTTATTATGAATTATTGTTTATCAATACGGACTACTAATACAAGACATGGTAATGATAGAATCGTTGTATTTCTCATGTTAATTATTTATCTGCCTACTATAGACAATTGTAATTGCCTCAAAATAAGTCAATTTGAAATTCCTCATGCATTAATTCATGTAAATTTTGTACTGCCAAACAAATCAAATTGATCTATTAGAATTCCCCATCTAAATAACCCCTTGATAATTTCAATTTCAAAGAATAATAAAGCCCTTCAAGAATAAGTGCATTGGTCAGTGGTCAGAGATCGATACCCAAATTCCCCTTTACTGAGAATTCCATGCTTGTACTGTAATTAGTGGAAGCTCAGTAGGGCTAGCTCTCTATACCTTTAGAAGGAGAGGGCAAGGGCCAAGGGGGCATAATTGGTTCAAAATTATTTCTTGAAAGAGGTATCTAATATCTCTACACGTAATAAAAAATATCTCTATACATAAAGTACAAATCTCTTTTGTTAGCCTTGAGGAAAAAAAATTGATTCCTCAGCTTCAAATTTATCTCTTGCTTTTCTTGTTATTGGTACTTCAATTTATATATATCTTGTTACTCAAACATATCCATAAGACACAGCCTCTCATCAACAAATATTAGAGAAGGTGGGAGACTAGGGATGATCAATAAAAGGAATTTTCTTTGTTTTAATTAGGGGCAGTAGCAGTACAATAGTATCAGTTGCCTCTCTATAGTACTCAAACTTAGCCATCAAGCTAGGTAAAAGCTCCCCATGCATGCAAATCAAAGACTGGCAGCTGATCTCTCCTTGATCAATTCAGTAGAACAAATCAAATGATTGTTCACCACTTCTTACAGAGCAAAAAAGGATCAACACAATGAACCAATTTTCAGTTTATTTCATTTCAGAAACTAAAAAAAAAAAAAAACACACACACACTTGAAGAGAAAGGGGAACCCTGTTCTTTGCTATAGCTCTGCAATCCTTATGAACTGACAGAATTCCTTAGAATCTTTCATTTTTTTGTGCATGTATATATGCCCTAGTGATTGGTTTGGTTTGTTTGATGGCCCCAACAAAGCCATGTTGCCTGGAAGTGAATCTTTTTTCTTGGAGCATATATATATATATATAAGATCAGTACTATACAACACTTTTTTCAGTTTCTTTCACCTTCTTTTTTTATATCAGTCATCAACACTCTTTAAAGGTCAATTTCATGAATGGTCATTCAGCTTTATTTTGTAACCGACTACTCGATGATGATTGGTGAAACTTGAAAAGATAAACATTTTTGGAGATTATTCATCTTCATAAGATCAAGTTAATCCAACTTGTCCGAGTGAGTGTGCTACTTCATTCAAATAGATAATATGTATTTCACACGACATCCTTATTGACTGACACATATAACCCATTACGCTAAAAAATAACCTAAAGAAACTGATTACTCAATCCAATTATTATTGAGCCTACTTCTCTAACCCTCTACCAAATAGCTTAGAGGAGGGCTACTATGAAATTTTTCATTATTAACCCATTACGCTAAAAAATAACCTAAAGAAACTGATTACTCAATCCAATTATTATTGAGCCTACTTCTCTAATTAACCCTCTACCAAATAGCTAAGAGGAGGGCTACTATGAACTTTTTCATTATTAATTTTAGTGAGTTAACACTCCAAATCTAGATAACTTATGCTAAAAAAATTGTAAACTATTATAAATCTTAGTCAATCATTTGTTACCAATCCAAAAGTTCGATTTACATGTTCATAAACTAATTTTCGGTTTCAGACGAACGTTAATAGTTCGATTTATTATGAGGAAAGTTGTTTGTTACTGCGGCATCCTTCTTCCTTGCGATTAAGGGGAGGGCCAACGGCCGTCCGCAGGCCAGCTGCATCAACAAAAGCCATTCTCTCTTCCGTTTCGTTTTGATTACCTCGGAAAATGGATTAATAATTAATAACGAATCAAGTTAATCGAATTCCGCAGCAAGAAACTGCTTAGTTACCTTTCATGGGTCTCGGTGTGAAACCCGGAGACGGAAATGGCCGTCCGTCGCTGTCGCACACCGCCGGCGGTCGGGAAACAGAGCTCCCGGAACCGCCAGATTTCCCCCGGTCAATATATCGCAAAATAGTCAACATATCGCGTAATTATCGCGATATATAGACATATCGTGAGATATCGCCAATTTCACTTTCTCGTCAATTTCTCGCGTTTCGATTTTGGTTTTGAGAACTCGAAACGTTCCGCGTTTCTACGTTTTTTTGCTCCCGTTTCTCGCTCCGCGTGGGTCTGGCCGCACCGTTTTTGCTTTGGATGGACCATTTCCGTCTGACGGAGGGGGTATTTAGCGGGCTCCTTATGGGCCCTCTCGGAAAGGCATATTGGACTTTACCCGCTGAATTTTCATGGGCCTGCGGCTGATATTCCTGCGGCCCGCGTTGGTTTTCCCGGTTTAAAAAAAATACCAACTATATAAATACGACCTATCGGAATCGGAACCCCCCACCACCGCAGCGATCTCCCGCCTTTCCTAGATCGTCTGAGAAATCCCTAAAATCTCTTAGATTCCGGCGCTACAAGCTTTTTCGCGATGGCGGTGGATGGTCGAAAAGAGCTTACGGTGAAACTAGAGGAGCTCTTGGCGAAAGTAAAGGAGTTGGAAGAGCTCGAACGCGAAGAGGTCGAAGGAGAAGAAGAAGAAGAAGAAGAAGAACTTCCGGTTTATGGTCCAATCGGTCGCGAAGCCACACTGACGCTGGAGAGGACTTGTGCGCTCGACGATCACCTGGCTCGTTTGCAGGAAAAGCTGCGATCTGGAATCGATCTCAACGAATTGAGGCAGCACGTCGAGCAGGTTAGCGAGATGGTGGAAGCTCTGCGTGAAGCATATTTCAGCCATGTAACGGCAATCGAAAAAGGACTCTGTTCTTATTAGATTTGCTGGTTCTGTCTTTCTTTTCTAGTTCATATCAATGTAGGATCTTTTTGAGCTAGCCTGATTAATACAGTAATTTTGTTAGTATTTGCGGAGTTTATTGTTCTTAGTAGCCAAAAGATTGGAGGGCAAATGCAAGATATTCCACTGCCCTTTTTCATGGCGGATGATAAGGGGAAACAGACGCTGAAAGCAAAAGATCATGTAAAATGCAAGTTTTCAATGGACCAAAAATCATTCATCGACAACGACAATGTTTTTTTTTTTTATGAGGATGATGAACTTTTATTAAATAAGAGAAAGGAAAAGAGTACAAAGATGGGATCATCACTTCACAAGCAGTGAAAGTGATTGGTGATCTTAAACCAGAAAAACAAAGGATAAACAAAGAGACAAAACATAAAGTAGCAGAAAAAGCACCACAAAGATGCACAGGGCCAAACGCTTACGAAACTACCACAACAGATCACACAAGCTACACCCGAAGCATCGACAACGACAATGTTGACCGCATAAAGATCATCTATCTACAGTGTTTGCATGATTTCAATGAAGCCCTAACAACATTCTACTTCTACTTGCTGCTGAAATACATGCCACTGTGATTTGTCGATGATTGTGCATCCTCGAATGATTCGTCAGAAGGAACTGACTGGTGCGGAAGTAGTTGAATCAGTTTTGATGTACCACCTGTCATGAAAATGCAATAACTTACGTTAGATTCAGTGTTTCAGAATAGCCTTGGCATACCAATCTTGGAAGATAGTGGCGGATGAACAGCATACCTAGTTAGGTCTAGATGCCTTGAGCATTAGGCAATTTCAGTGAGCACTACTACGGTTGAGCAACCCTTGAAATGATAAGAAGAGATCTTTGTTCTCTGTCCCAAAGATCTCTTCTGCTTTCCTCAATGTTTCCTAGAATAGAGAAGAGCATCTGAATAATCAAACCAGACCGAACACGGTAGCAGTGACCAAGATTTCAGTCAACAAGCCAATAATAGCTTACCTCCCGGGTTTGCTTCTGGGCATTTAGTTCCTTGATGTTAGCCAGAAATGCACTGAATTGCTCGTATGAGAGGCGACTCCTGAGTTGCAATACACACGTGAGTGATAGGACTGAAGTGCAAGTACTGTTAACCATGAGATTTTATATGAAAGCCCATGTGGGAAAAACAGCTGAACTCACCTGGCCTGACGAAAGAACTCCTTCCCATCAATTCGTGGAGTCCGTGCTACAGAGATTTCAAAAATACAATGTTTAATGTTAAGAGGTGGAATAATAAACCATCTTTATCAGATTTGCACCTAAAAGTACTGATATAAGGATGGACCGAGAGTATCACTGAAGACTTCCACTGAGATTTGCAGTCACAAACCTGGCATTGAGCGTCCACGAGGAGGGGAGTTTGCTGCCGAAGACTGTTGACTGGATGGATACCATGGAGAAAAGCTAGTTTGATGTCCTTCGTATTGGGATTTCGTCGGTGATGTCAGAGCAGAGGCCCTCCGAGGTGACACAGCAGTAGAATAACTCCTAGGGGACACAGTTGTAGATGTAATTTTTGGGGTTGCAGTTGGAGTAAGCCGTGGTGTGATGTACGGGGTTATGGAGAATCTTTGTCCAGCAGACTTTGCAGCTGTTACATCAGCATAAGAATCATGAAATGAACTCAAACTTTAGCACACAGTAACAAAAAATCGACATTTCTAAGATAACTGGTGACACCCATTTAGCTTTTGTCATTCGGTTTAAGAGGGTAACAAATGTTAGGTGCCCTGGGTAATTGGTATGTCTGACTGAGAGCATGTCATCTAAAGGTTACAATTCAGATGCGGACACTATTTGACTACAGCTTTCAGTTGCCAAAGTACGGAAGAAACAGAGAGGAGGAAACATTGTTACATTATTCATCCTAAGAGAAGTCTACTCTAGGCCTAGCCACTCCAATTAAAGATCTTCTTTTCACAAAACAATAGAAAGACCATCAATCGTCTAGAAAAAAGTACACAGGCAAGAGCAGTTGAATACCTTGATCAGCTGTACTCATGTCGGTAGAGCCACTGTAAGAATAGTCGCTGGCATATCTATTTGACACTTCATCTGTCAAGAAAGAAGCAGGATGGTAACAGAAAATAAGCAGACATCAAAACATCAAAGTTGATCTAATTGATAAACAAAAAGATCAGTAATATCATCAGCCAAAGGGAAATTCCCGGAGCACCAGAAGCTCTTCGACTTCGACACACTACCTTTATCAGGATATGCCTTTGGTGCACGTTGATCATATGCTTTAATATCAACAGTTTGTGTTGGCTGCAAAACATAGAAAATGAAGTCAATTACTCTATATAATACCGGGAAGGAAGAGGATAAATTAGAAGAAAACTAATAACAACAAGTGAACAGCACATCTTACCGATGGATTGTCATCACTAAGTGACTGCATCAGCTGCCTCTTGAAGTTCTCCAACTGCAATGAAACAAGTCACCCTAGTCATTTCTCTAGGCATGCACGGAGAACACTAAACCGAAGAGAAGTCATTTCTCAAGCCAAACACACCAGCCCACACTAAACATGCAGAAATCTATGTACAAGAACACTAAGCAAGTGCATATAGGTAAACCATGGCTGAACTGAGTCATCAAACATACTTCATGCCAACCTAATTCTCAACAACTGCAGAGTAAGCAAGAAACTCAATTGCATTTCTGAATAATGGCAATGCAGCATACCTTTGCCAAATCACGGCCAAGCTTCTTCACGTTGGCAGCCAACGAATCCCTTTCCTTAGCGAGTTTAACCTTCATCATGAAAACAACAGTAAGAGAACCAAGCAAGAGTGAATTTCCAAAAATCAACCTCAATATCCGAAATTTCGCAGAAACCCTAACACCCATTGATCAAATTGCAGACTCAAATGTTCTTTCTTTCCTATAACGATACTAAAAATCGGAAAGGGAAGAGTTCCCCCTCTACTTACATTCTCATCAAGGGTGATCTTCAGCCTCGACTCGGCCTCCCGGTACGCCCGCTGCATTCGAGACGCTTTCTCCTCGAGCTCGTAAGCAATTCGATCCTTCTCGTACATCTGCTGCTTCATTCTTCCCACTTCCGCTTCCAGGTTCGACACACGGGAAGCGATTGCCATGGAAGTGATCTTTCGCGCCAATCCAGCTGGTCATACGGGTCGGCCGGTATAACAGCCAGAATTTCGTCCGGCAAGTCGAAGTCCGGGCCCCCTCCGCCGCCGCCGCCGGCGACAACTATGCTGCCTTCTCCGCTTCCCAGCTGCGACATGGCCGAATCTTCCTTTCCTACCTCGAAAAATCAGAAGAATCTGCCGGTAGAAATCGGTCGCTCTTCCACGGGGTTTTTGGTTTAGGAAGTGAAAGAGGTAAACGATAGAGAGAGGATGGTCGCTGGTTGTCCTGTGAGAGTCTGAGACAGTGCTGGCTGGTGACGTACTGGAAAATTCCCCAATTCACAACCATCTTTTATTTCCCACCTAATCTTTATTCTCCCTATTTTAAGTATACTAACAATTCCATTCTTTTGCTCTAATTATATAATTATGCAAAATTTTACATTTTTTACTATGATTTTTCATATTACATGCTCTTTATATTTCAAATTCGAGCGTTTTAGTTATTATTAGATGTGAGACAAATTGAATCCGTAGAACATTATATGTAAAAGGAAAAAAAATAAAGATATAAGGGAACATACAATTTTTAATGAAAGTGACTACAAAACATAATTGGTAATGGGTAATTAATTATCGTTGGTGTTTGAATTAACGAATATATAAGAAGGTGTGGGCTGTTTCTTTGCTCGATTATTGACTTGTTTAAATATTTGAAAGTTTGTTGTATTAGAATTAGAGTGGGATCAGACGATCAGTTAGCAGGAAAAGAGAGGGAATATTATATGTTTGGAATTGGTGGGGACTGGGTACGAAAATTTGAAATTTTTGGAGGGCTTTCCCCTCCAGATGGCTGCGGGTGGACCGAGACCTTGCTCACCTCTTACGCAATTATGGGCCTCCAAAGTTAGTGGATCATGCATTGTCGGCCTTTGAATCTGTTTACCGCCATATGATTTGGGCCCTAGTCTGCTGGCCCAATTATTCTCCTTCGCGCTCCTTCCGTTCTACTCCTGCATTCCCGTTTCGTTCCGGAAGAGAGAATATCCAATCGCTGTCCAAATCTCCATCGGCGTTCCTTCGCGTTTCCCCGGGATCGCCCATTGCCATAGTCGGTGCGGCATATTGCTTCGTTCTTTACTAATAGTCGGCTGCGCTACCGGACCGAATTTTAGCCGGCGGGGGACGGAGAGAGGAAGCAGAAGAAGGCAGAGATGTCGGTGATGATGGTGACGAGCTTAGGGGATTTAGTGGTCGACTTGTTCACCAACGAGTGCCCTCTCACTTGCAAGAACTTCTTGAAGCTCTGCAAGTAATGCTTATGATTCCGTACCTTATTTGTTTGATTTGTTTGCTTATCATGCGTATGAGTGATTGCACTGGATAGCTGTGTTTTTTCTAGGTGAATGATGGATGGCGATTCTCGTTTGAATTTGCATTAGGGTTTTTTTTTCTCTTGCAAAATTGCTTTCGGTTGAGAGTTTGTATGCATCTTGATGACTTTGTGGGTTGTTTTTTTGTTTGTTTGGTTGAACTGATGAAGGATGAAGTATTTCAATGGGTGCCTGTTCCACACGGTCCAGAAGGATTTTACTGCGCAGACTGGTGATCCTACTGGTACAGGTGCTGGTGGCGACTCGGTCTACAAGTAAGACTCGATGAATAATGGGATTGTATAAGCTTGAATGTGTTTGAAAATGCTGTTTGGGGTGTACTAGTAGTTTGGTGCTTTTCCTTGATATTCGGTTTTGCCTCATGTAGCATATATGGTTAGCTAGTGCTCATTACCTATTGTCGCACTCTGCTCGATTTCCAGATTTCTTTACGGAGACCAAGCCCGCTTCTTCAACGATGAAATTCATCCTAATCTAAAACATACAAAGATGGGAACTTTTGCAATGGCTAGCGCTGGAGAAAATATGAATGCTTCACAGGTTTGATGTTCTCTTGCTTGGTAAATAGCCACTGCGACGTCATATTTTTGAGTTCTAATGTGTTGTGTTCTTTCTCTTTTTCAGTTCTACATCACGTTGCGTGACGACCTGGACTATCTGGATGGGAAGCATACTGTAAGTATCTTCCACTACTTCTCTCTGGGGATAGTTCTGTTATTATTCAACAGTATTAGGGAGTTATATGGTATAATGCAACTATATTTCTGTTGTTTTAGGTTTTTGGAGAGGTAGCAGAAGGACTGGAAACTACTTTGACTAGAATCAACGAAGCTTATGTAGATGAAAAGAATAGGCCATATAAAGATATAAGGTTCGATATCCTTACTTTACGCAGCTCCAATCTATATACACATATCAAGATATTATTACTTCATGCAGACAATCTTTATATGATTGCTGATAAATTATTTTGACTTTCAACAGGATAAAGCACACATATATACTGGAGGATCCTTTTGAAGATCCCAATGAGTTACCTGGGTTGATCCCTGATGCTTCCCCAGAAGGAAAGCCAAAGGAAGAGGTATTAATGATCTATAGTTATTTTTATATATATTAATAAACCGTCTTGAAGTAACATATCTGTTATTAGTTTTTTATTCTTATTATGTCTACATGTTTTGCAGGCTCTTGACGTCGTTCGGCTTGAAGATGATTGGGTTCCCTTGGATGAGAAATTACGTCCAGAAGAACTTGAAGAGATTATTAGGGAAAAGGATGCACATTCTAGGGCTGTTGTGCTCGAGAGTGTAAGCATCTATTTTTGTAAGTTGATCATATTAATGGTTTAATGTTCTGCCTATAGGGATTGACCCTGTTTTGCTTCTTTTCTATTGTAGATTGGGGATATCCCTGATGCTGATGTGAAGCCTCCTGAGAATGTATTGTTTGTGTGCAAACTAAATCCTGTCACTGAAGTAGGTTGCATAACTTGTACTTCCAGTAGTTCGTATCAGGACCATTTCATTTATCTCTTTTCTTCAGGAAGTCTACTAATATATGATTTGTCATGCAGGATGAGGACTTGCATACAATTTTTTCACGTTTTGGGAATGTGGTATCGTAAGTAATCAATTATAATCCTTCAACACAAATTTATCTATCTATCTATGATGTTAGCAAGCCTATTTACTGAACACAGTTTGCATCCTGTGTGATTGGTTACAGGGCTGATATAATTCGAGAGTTCAAAACTGGAAACAGCTTGTGCTATGCATTTGTAGGTATGTAGCTTCCTTTCTTCACAAATTTCATAGCAGAACAGCTAAGTCTCCTATTGTCTCCAACTTGTTAATCTCTTAAGTTATAGACCTTCCTTCTATCTTCACAACTGCATGTCCTTATTCCTCTTCGCATCTCAATTTTTTTCCAGATTTTGAGACCAGAGAAGCATGTGAACGAGCATATTTTAAGGTATGGGGAAGACTAATAAAATGCCATTTTGATTCATTCCACTCATTCCTAACAATGTGTGTCGAATACACTGATTGTCTCTTTGTTGTACACCGTAGATGGATAACGCTTTGATAGATGACAGAAGGATAAAAGTTGATTTCAGCCAGAGTGTTGCAAGACTATGGGGTCAGTATCGGCGCAGAGGCAAAGATTCAGGTAAGATAAGCAAAGACGTTCTGATAAGTGATTCAGTTTTGATGCTCGAATCCAAGACTTTTTGGCTATGATCCCATTGGCTGAATAAATCAAAATTGGAAAAGACCACTACCATGTTGTTCTATTGCCTACCTCACTTAAAGAAAACCTTTCCAATTGAATGCGTTTTTGTTTGATTCTGCTTTCCTTTCTTTTATTCTCGATATGATCCTGTGACAGTTCTGGACCGGACTGGTCCAACGTTGCCTAGGAGGCATGGCCGAATTTGGACTTCTGTTTCTTGATTTTCAATGTTGTTTGTTACTTTCTCATTATTACAACATCTGGAGCGCAGGTGGAGGTTGCTTCAAGTGTGGTGCTGTCGATCATCTTGCAAGGGACTGTACTGAAGGTCCTGGTTCTAAAAGTCAGGGTCCAAAGTACATCCTGAAGGATGATAACACACAGCGTGGCAGTGATAATTCCAGGTTCGTCGTCATCTCTCTCTCTCTTTAGCCCTGATTGTCTCTGCATGACATTGGAATCCGACTTATATCTGATGTTCAATTATAGGTATGCCATGGTGTTTGATGGGGAAGCTCCTGGAAGCCCAATAGAAGAAGAGAGTCGCAGAAGCCTGGGGGAACCAGATGAGCAACCTGACAAGGGAAGGAGGAGGCATAGAAAAACCTCAGATGGTCGAGACGAAGAGAAGGATTCATCAAAGAGTAGGATACGTCAGAGTGACAGAAGGCGGGTCGATGAAGATGATGATAGTGATAGACGGCGTGACAGCAAAGCAACTCGGTATCAACATGACAGCAGAATCAAAGACCACGGTGGTGATAAGGGAGATGGTAAAAAGACAAGCATTGATCATCACGGTCGTGGAGAAAGAATAGACAGCGACAGAGACAAAGATCATTACCAGAGGAGGAGTGGGGAAGGCGATTACTGGAGAAGAAGCGACGATGGCGAGGATAGAATTCGCCGGAAAGAGTTGGATGATGACAGTAAAGAGCGTAAACGAAGACACGGAGAGAGTGACAGGCGAGAAACGAGGGACAGAGAAGAACGAGATGAGGGTAGAGAACATAAGAGAAAAGACCCCGATGGTGACCACAGGCGAGAAACTAGGGACAGAGAACGAGAATTTAGGCACAAGAGTGACAAAAGGAGATGAACCATCAGACGTTTTATCTTTGGCTTTCTTCAGGGTCTTAAGCCTGCACTATATTGGGATATGTTGTTTATAGCCTCAACACATCAATGGTGTTTCGAAAGGATGCCATCTATTGATGGTTCCCCGGTTCCATGATACTAGACAGGAAAGAGTATGAGAATGTTTTCTTTGCATTATTTCATCTGCTTTAATTATACAGGAGACTACAGCTGTGACCAAACTATCAGCCTATTTCTCTGATCGTGTGGTGACATTGCCGGGGCAGATTCTTTCGCCAAAATGTACACATTTAAATGTCGCCCCTTTTCACTTCAGCAAACGACAACTATGTATGAACAAGATGATGAACACAGCCTATAAGAACATGTTATTTACAGCCTTGCTTGCAATCTTTGCTACCTATAAAAAGACCCTACTCTGTTATAACTAAAACATTCGGCTTTGAGGTAATGCATTGGTGGGGATATGGAATTCATTTGCCTCAACGATCCCAACTCAAAACTCTTTCTCATTCATTGTCCCAGCTATGGATCATTCAGCATCAAAATTTCGGCAGTCCCCCCACCTCGAAAGAAGCCCATCGTCTTTCTGCTGTCGAAGTTCACCATTCACTATAACTGGTGCCACTTATGTTTACTCAACACAAGCATCCAGCAGTTGCATTGTCTTGTTGTTTGTTTCACTTTACAGGTTGAACGCCAACAGTTCTGACACGGAATCTGTACTGTGGTTGTGGCTCCTCTTCATCATCATCATCATCGTCGTCATTATCATCCTCATCGCTTGAGTCGTCCTCGACGACTCTATCCCAACGTGCATAATCCAGTGCCGAGTGTCCCTTTGGTTTCGGAATTGCCTGCCAACCATTGGACTGTTGCTCGGGTGATGCTTTACTAGTCCTCTGTGCTTGTGCAATCACTTCAGATGCAATGGTTCTCCTAGGCTCAGGCTTCCTCTGTGCTTGCGCAATAACTTCCGCAGTGATGCTTTTTCTTGCTTCAGATTTCTGATCTCCTCCGCCTCCATCAGAAGACTTCTTAATGCCTTCTTCCATAGAGACAGTAGTCCGATCTTGTTCAAGCATACTGGTTTGCAATATGCCAACATCTTGCTCTTCAACTTCTTCATCTTCTTGTCCCTCTTCTGAGTCATCATCTTTCTCATCCTCTTCTTCTTCCTCCAACTCAGCTTCGGACTCCGGTATTGGAGCTAGGGACTTCCTTCACCAAAAGAACAACAATTTCAGCAATCAACATAAAAAAAAAAAAAGATAATTTAGTAGTTCTCAATCTGAATGTAGCTACCAACAAACAAGACAAGTCATCCACAAACTTCGAAGTTGTTTATCAGGATCAGAATCCGTACTGAAGCACTGCAGCAGGATCAAATCACCTAGCCAAACTTCGGGGGTCGGCAGCTACTAAAGTTCATCGAAACAGATCCATACAAGATCAAAGAAAGTACATATCTTTGTCAATGATATCAAAGAAAGCAGATTACTTTACCAGCATTTCAGCAATTCTAACCACACTAATACACATTGCCTCAATGCAAGCCTAAATACAGGCAACTGAGTTCCTTCTGAATATATTGAAACCATTTTAAACTGTCTGATGTCGCAATCTATGCATCAATTGAAGAGGAGAAATGACAAGGCAACGAAAGCACACATCCAAAGGGGGCGCCTAAAATGTATCAAATTACCAATTGAGTCCTCAATCGAGTTTCCAGGTTCTGGTAAACTTCGGAAGATGGATTCAACTCCATCAGCCGATTGACATCGAACAACGCCGAGTGATAGTCTTTCAGCGTCACCAACGTCTGCGCCCGCAGCATCAAAGCTCCGGTATGGTCGTAATCCAGCTCGAGCACGGAAGTACACTCTTCAGCTGCCTGCAATACAAACGAAGTCGCAAAGTTAAATCGAATTCCCCCAAATCCAAACATTTGAATCCTTCACTTCTCCCATTCAAAATCCATCCGAACCAGACAGAGCACAAGAAAACAGCAAACAATAAGAATAAGAACAAGCAAGGTTTTTTTTTTTTTTACTTCGTACCTTCTTGAAATCGTGCAACTTGAGGTAGCAAGCGGCTCGGTTGCTATGCAGGGCGATCCTCTGCGGCTTGGTTTTGGCGGCGGCGAGCGCTTCGGTGTAGAATCCCAGCGCGGCGTCGTGCTTGCCGTCCCTGTAGAGCTGGTGCGCCGCCTCGATCTTGCTCGCCGGAGACGACTCCATGGCTCGGAATATCCGACGGTAAGTCTCTGGCTTCCAATCTGAAACTCTCTGTAAATAACTATAAGGCAGTAATGGCGGACGGAGCAATTATAGGCCCCTGCCGATTGATCAAAACAATACAACCCGGGTAATTTGCCTCAGTGGGTTTCTGTCTTTCTTTATGGGATTGTCCAATTTATAGGCAAGATTGGATTTTTCATTGGAATTGTCTGTGAAATGAAATGACTTGCCTTGTGCGCCTCATTCCCCATTTTTAAAGGGTTGAACTTTCAAATGCTAAAGTGATAAACACAAAGTTAAGTAGAGAAATTAATTATCAAAGAGTTGATTAGTGATAATTGTATACAGAATACATATATTTTGGGTTAAAGTCGCAAGCTCGCGTGAAACATTTTTGAAAACAAGCAGAAAAAGATGGTTCGTGGATCCTAATTGGGTCCATCAGGGCCCAACAAAAGGCAAATGAAGACAGATTATTTATACTTTGAGAAGCTTTCTTGTTTGATTTTGCCTCAATTATTACCACCGAAAAGGGTCGACAAGAGATTATGCACATGTTGATGTTGGCAGTTTATTAGCTGTTCCATGCAAGCAAAGACTAATGTGGGATCGGATATGAAATCAGATGGAAGAGGAGCTTACACATCATCATCTCCGCCTAGTTCTACAAATGTTGTAATTCAATATGATGACACCAAATCATTTAGATCTCTCACGTTTCATGTTTATAAAAAAGTGACCTTTTTGTCAAATAATTTGAAGCAGTTGTGCTTTACACAACTTGGAAAGCGAACACACTTACTCAACTTGAACAAGTTCTGTTTAGATCTTGCCAAGTTGCCCTGTCGAAGCTCCCAAACCAAGCACGAGAAAAACGAAGTACAGCTCGAAGCTTCTCACCTTTGCTCAAAACAAGCTTATCGTAACTCCAAATTTAGATTATACAAATTACAATATACTCCCCAAAGACCTGAATCCAAATCCCACTACTCAAAAGTAAATATAAGAATAGACAACAGTAGTCAATTTTTTGCCTACATACTACTTAGGAATCACTTCCATCAAGAGCCAGCAAAGCATTTGCCAATATCTCAGCAGCCTGGCTGAGTTCCTCCTGAGTGATAACCAATGGAGGCACAAGCCTCACCACATTGCCCTTTCCAGCAGTCAGCACCAGCAGCCCCGAGTTTCGGCATGCATCAACCACAGGTGAGGCTGATACGTCCAGTTCTATTCCAATGATGAGACCGAGCCCTCTAATCTCCTTGACGTGGGGGTTCTTGCCCAGCTTCTGGGTTAAGAGGTTCTTGAAGTATTGTCCCTTCTCGGAGACACTGGATAAGAAGCCGGGTTTCGAGATCTTGTCCAGGACGGAGATGGCAGCACTGCAGACGAGAGGACCCCCTGCAAATGTGCTTCCATGGTCGCCGTAGTTGATGGCTGAGGCAACCCGTTCGGTTAGCAGGACAGCTCCGATGGGTAGTCCACCGGCGAGTGGTTTGGCGAGGGTCATTATGTCAGGGAAGATACCGTATGGTTCGTGTGCCCAGAGCTGGCCAGTCCTACCTAAACCACATTGCACCTGCACAAAGCATGAACAAAGGAGTATGTAAGGATTCATCATGAAGCCACTCACACACCAGACGTAAAGTAATAGTTCTAATCGTCAACCATGGCCTATTTCAACAGGCGCCATGATTCCTTCATTCATCATCGTTCATATTTGCCTATTTCATCATTGAGATGCATTGAGGAAACCATGACACTAGCAAGAAGATTAGCCAGGAAAACAGGATCAAAAGCTCAAAAATTATAATTCTATATATGCAGTCTAGTAGCAGAGAACATCATGGGAAATCCCGCTGGAATCAAACCCAAATTCGATATTCTTTACAATCCAGAAGTTAGTGAATGTATTTCTATATGTGCAGTCTAGTAGGGGAGAACATCATGGGATATCCTGCCGGAATCAAACCCAAGTTCTTAATGAAATCTAGCTTTTAAGTCTTTATCTAATTGGTCAGGTATTAAACGATACCAGTGCCTTATTACCTCATCAAAGACCAGAAGAGCTCCAGCTTCATCACACGCATCACGCAGAAACTGCAAGAACTCCTTCCTCGCGCTGTATATCCCTCCTTCACCTTGGACCGGCTCAACGAAAACCGCAGCAGTCTTCCCTCGTTGAATCAACTTCTTCGAGGCTTCTATATCTCCAAACTCCACGAAGCTAACTCCAGGCATGACGGGTTCAAAGGGGGTTCTGTACTGTTCTTTGCTCGTCAGAGCAAGTGCACCCATCGTCCTACCATGGAAACTATGACTGAAAGACACAAATTCAGTCGCCGGCTCTTTGGCATCAGGGTTCGAGTGCCTCTGGAACTTCCTCGCAAACTTAATCGCAGCCTCATTGGCTTCGGTCCCAGAGTTCGAGAAGAACACCCGATCAGCAAACGAACTAGCCACCAGACGCTTGGCTAGCTCAACCTGTCATAATGACATGCAGCTATAAGCTGTCTTAACCAGGTGGAAATCATAAATTCCGAAACTTTCCCAGCAAAATAAACACCCTTAAGAAGAAACTAATCTGTTTAACCAAAGACATAAATCACAAATTCTGAAACTTTCCTCGGCAAATAAACTCTCCATAAACTATTTCAACTAGACAAGGATAAACATTGAGGGGGTAAAATGAAGAATTGAATTGGGGCAAAAACCTGAGGGACAGAGTAGTAGACATTGCTGACATGAGTCAACAGATTAGCCTGCTCGATCACAGCCTTAAGCCAGTCGGAATCGCAGTGCCCCAAAGCATTCACTGCAATCCCAGAGGTCAAATCCAAGTACTCCCGTCCCTCCACGTCGTACAATTTACACCCTTTGCCGCTGGCGAGCACCAGAGGAGCTCTGGCGTAAGTCCCCACAATCAATTTCGCTTCCGCCTCCATTATCTCCTTGCTTCCATTACCCTCCATTTTTTTGGCGGCAATATCCGGCGAAGGCTTGACGTCCACGTTGACACATGATAAGATTGCTTCTTTTCTCCCTTGTAATCTGATTCCCCGCGACCGTAATCGCTCCGGATTGAGTGCCAATCGGCGGGGATTGAATGCCTGAGACACCGCGACGCCGGAAGTCATCTGGAGGGAACTCATTTTTGCTCGAATGAGAACGAAAAAAGCTGGGTAAGAATGGAGAAGCTTGAGATTTGAGACGCCTCCTTCGAATGAAACTTCCAGAGCCAGCGCCGGTACTGGACGATGCGTTGCCGCTGCTTCTGCTTTCTCCCGCCGCCGCCGCCGCCGCCAACTGAATGTGAAGAAGTAGTTGGCGACTTGGCGTGTAAGATATTGGGATTTCGTATTTAGGAAAGTTAGTGGCCGCCTACACAACGGGCTGTCTTTGGGCTTTATTTTGGGCCTTTGGGAAATTGGACCCTATGTAAACACACGTGAATTGCGAATGGTGTGCCCAGCGGCCCGCGAGCTGGTTTTTGGTGTTGCTGTAGGGTTACATGCAAAATTCACGTGAGAGGTCAAAAGGCCAAGCCATGCATTCAATTTCCATAACGTAAAAAAAAAAACTGAAGGACATGAGTTTTACACCACCATCAGTGACAGTGAGGCTCTCACTTTACATTTCATTTAGTAAAAATCCATTTAGTATTCTTCACAGAATTACTGTGCCACAATCAACATTAGAGCCAATCACCGAAAGAGAGAGATAATCTTCTTTTTTACCATTCCATGAAAAGTTTTAATTCCTCAGAAGCACAATCAATTATCAGACAACAAGAACGAACCGTCGCCCATCTCGCTAGTAAACACGCCACAGTAATTAACTATGCTGACGGTAAAAGGCACTAAGAATGATGATTAATTAACCATATAGCCAGCCAATCAGCCAAAATGCTAGAGCCGGTCGACTATTCGGAGGAACGCCTCAGAGAGCGCGTCGTTCATCCGCATATCATACATCTGCGTCGGCATATCACCTACACGCCCACGCGCCAGCCCGAGGCACGTGGCCTGGCTGCCGACGGCTCTCGCAACGCCGTGATTGGCCCCGTCGTAATCTCCCCGCTTCAAACAGGCTCCGGCAGCCGAAAGCCTCTGGCCCATCTCGTCGAACTGCCGGCTGCAGGCCTCGAAGATGGGCTGGGCCTCCGTGTTGTTGGCCAGTCGGGCCAGCCCGGTCATGTTGACGGCGAGGTTGGACGAGTGGGTTGCGAGACACTTGAGGAGGATGGCCGCCACGTCGACGGGTCGGCTGGCTGATTCGGATTCCGGGTCGGATTCGATGCAGCGGAGGCAGGCCAGCGGGGTCTCGGAGTGGTGGCATTGCTGGTTGATCAGGGTGAACATGTTCTCGGTGGTGGCTAAGGAGAGAGATAGAGAGAAGAGAAGGCAAAAGAGCATGGTTGAAGAAGCCATTAATTGGTTTGCTCTTTTGCAGTTTTTGGTTTGGAGATTCTAGATAGATATTGGGTAATGTGGGTATATATAAAGGGAGGGTCGAAGATGAAAACGTGAGAAACGCGGTAGAGATTCATCATTTCTATCGTGACCATATATCTTAATAAGGCCTCACTATGGGCAACCGTCAACGGACCTTTGTTGTACGGTCAAAGAGTCTGTTTGATCAGAGCAGCCTCGACAATCGCATAGAACATTCTAGGTTCAAACATATGTAATTCAACTTAGAGAATGTAAGAATTGAACCAATTTCGTTAGTCTATCAGCAGTGGCGGAGGCAGCATTTCATACCACTCATGTCCTTTTTTCATAACTTAAATATATAAGTATCTAATAAAATAATTATTTAGTAAAAAATTATTAAAAATAATTATATCCAAATAATTCATTCATAAATTAAAAATAACCGATTATACAATCATACTTTTCAGAAATAACTACGAAGGAATTTCATATAGAAAGAAACGCAAAAACATTCGTTGTCTACACTATTATATAAGTCTCTTTCAATGTATCTAACTTACTAAATAAGTATTAGCAAACTGGTCGCCAAGTCGACTTGGAAACTTGTTCTTAATATAACTCAAAGCTGAAAATGCTCTTTTTACTCTTGCAGTTATAATTGGTAGATCAAAACTAGTGGGATTGCCGTTGTCGCTAGATAATTTCAGCGTTGTTAGGGAAAAGATCGAATAGGCATAAGGAGAAAAGAGACCCGATTAGGTCTTTATTGCAATTGAAATTTCGTTTATAGTATAATATATTAATTTTATGTCAATTTTTGACAAGTAATGAGTTGAAAAACTGGCGAGTCGGTTGAATTTGGTTGGCTAAAGAGACCCACAAGGATAAAGAGATGGAAATCGACATGATCTGTACCTTCGGCTCTTAACTCTGATGTGTTGAATTTGGTTGGCTAGACAAATTGCAGAGGCTTTTAATGACAAACTGGCGAGTTGGTTGCCTCTTGCCTGCTGGTGGATCATGAACGAAATTGAACACGTAAATGGGATTCCTCCATCACTACTACTACTGTTGCTTCAGAGTGATGTAGCTAGGGAACAGTAGTATATATGTTATGTGGCACATTCCAATCCTATCAAAGCTTTATCACTTAGAGAAGAAAACGCACACTGGAAAATGGTTAGAAAGTGAGCGTTCGAGAGGGCAATGAATATGGTGTCCTGCTCTATGACTGTTTAATTAACTCTTTCTTCCATCAATTGGAACTGTTTTGTGTCTAACCATACTTGGTTGCACAGTTATCAGCTGGTTGTGGAGTTCTCTTTTGTGCCTAATTTCTTCGTTAAGTTAGGGAGTCTCCAAATATTGATACGTGTATAACTGAAGTCTAAAAGTGACGAGAAATATAGATTATTTTAGAGAATAAATATTTTTCTATGAACTATTATTAGTAAACATTAATGATTTATTAGAGTATTAATTGGAGTGCTGACAATGGAAGATGTTTTCTTGCTACTTTTGTTTTTGCATGAAATAGGCCCCCATTAAGATCTCCAAGTGATACATCTTCAATAGCTTAATGAAATTAAAAAATCAATAAAAAAAATTAGACATTTGTTTGATGCGAATCACAAACTCACTCTTAATTAAGAATATTGCCCATAATTTCAATTAATCGTCTTAGAAAACAGAGTGTAATAAATAATTTTGGGAATCACCACCAACCAAGTGTGTTTTTCTTTTTCTGGTTCATCATATATCAAGAAAAAGGACTAGAGAATAAATGCAATCCTTGTCGAGGTGGGACAAAGAAAGCCAGCCAGCCAACCAACCAACTAACTATCAACTATGCCTTCGTTGCATTTGTCACAAATACCCCACGTATAACAAACAAGTGTACTTCCATCATTAAAGACCTAAATTTTAAAACTAGGGGTGATGATTATACGGTTCGGTCCGGTTAAATTGGACCAAATTGATATGGTTTCAGTTCGGTTTTTTCGAGAATACAAGGACCAAAGATTGGATTGGATACAGTCCGATCTTGACCCAGTCCGGTCCCAATTTGATTTTGATTCTAGGTGTTGGAGGTCTCTTATCCAGATTTTTACCTCAAATCTAAGCCCGAATATGAGATTGGATTGTTTGTTATCCGGTCCCAGTCAGATCCCGATCCGAGTTATACGATCCGATTTCGGGTAAAACCAAACGATCCGGACCAAATAGCAAGCCCTACTTAAAACTTGTACACATTCATCTCATACTCTACGCCTTTAGCACGTATATGTATAATATGGTTAGCTGCCTGTGGTCATTAATGAGCCGATTTCCACTCATCTCCCTTTCCCCAAGTAATGTCCATCCATATATAATTAAGTTTTGTCAAATCTCTATTATTGAGATTATGATATCCTTTTTGACAAACATAAAATTTATTGACTATGTACTTAACTTCCATTATTGATGCTTAAATTGAACAATTGCAACTTACACAACTCCAACCAACCCGAATCCGGTTCAATACCTCACTTAACCCCTCCCCTCCTTCTTTCAGATATATTCCTCAATCCTCCTGTTGCTATATAATCATGCCCCATGCATCTCCTTTCATTTCACAACATCCCCATTACTCAAGAGTCACACTATCCAGCTTGTGCTCCACAATCTCTTCCTCTTTTCCTTCCTTTAAATTCTTGTAATTATATAGTTTATACCCAAATTCGACATGACATACTATCTAAGCTTGGTCGCTTACTATATCTACTTCAACTCCGCCAAAGTTGCCTACCTTGCCTCCTTGCTCGCTCTCTCCCTCTTTTACGTCGTCTTGGGAAGCGCCGGAGATCATCATGCACCACCGCCGCCGCCAATCGCCGCCGCCGGTTGGCGTTTTGTCGACCAGCAACAGCTCAGAAATCTGGTCTCCCTTTACTTGCAACTCGACGACGGCTTCGGCCCATCTCAACTCAACCACACGTATTACGGCCGGCTGCCGTCCGCCGCCGGGGGAGTCGCCGGTTATTGATACTTTTAAGTTACCCTATTTTGCTGTTGGCTGGCGCTACGTGCTCTGCCTTTTCCTTCTTTTGTTGTGGCTCCAAATTTCCATGTAGTTAACGAGTTGTGGTAGTTGTAGTCCTTCTCTTCCCGTAGTTGGAACGTTTTTTTGTGACATAACCGTACTACAAATATATATGTTCTCTATAGCTTTTTTAAGCCTTCCGCACGATTGATTCTTGTTGAAATACTGATATTCATGCTAAATTCTCTTCAGATCATATGGTATGATATGATTCAGAGTGTTAGAAAACAAATTAAAAGTCATTTCATTTTATAGTGATTTTAACGATAATAACAAAGCTCGAATCAGAACTCAACAACCAATAGTTATAAATGACAATTAAATAAGTTGAAAAAGATATCAATCAAACTACAATAAATTCATTATCTATGAGACCTAGGTTTAGCAAATAATAAACCAAACTTTTTTTTTCTTTAAAATGAACTCAGGCCTGACCAAAATTTCAACGGGACAGTTGTTAGGTGAGCCTAACAAGTGGGCTTTGAACTAAAACCAGCACTGACGTCCATCTGGCCTACCACTGCAGAAAACATATGGACTCCAATCCAATGGGCCTTCCCCCCCATTAAATTCTCTTTTACCGAAAGAAGACCGTTGCAGGTTGAGCCAACCAAATGACGTGGCTCCACCGAAACGCTCCCGCCCTCTCTCTACCTTTTTTTTAATGAATTAATCTCCCAACCAATCAAAACAAAATAAACAATTTAAATTTCCCCCCAATATGACCGTTGGGAAACAGATCTCAAAACCCGCCTAAAACGTTCAAAACCACCCACACAGAAAGCGGAACCTTTCACTCTCTCCCTCTCTCTGTTTCTATCTCCCTTTCTCCCCTTCCAATCCTTCACGAAAAGTCCAATCTTTCCATGGCGGAAAACAGTGAAAACCCACCATCGTCATCATCATCATCGATCATGGTCCCGAAGCCGCGGCACCCGCTCCACCAAATAGCGGAAACCCCCACCCACAAGCTCTTACTGAAGCAGTGGCTGAAGGAGGAAGAACTGATCCTGAACAGAGTGTCTTTCAAGGAGTCACAGATCGACTCAGTCCGCCGGGAAATCACGCAGCTCTACGTCTTCTTCTTCCTTTTCCACTCCATTTCCTTGCTTCTCCTCTTCAACCACGCTTCTTCTGTTTCCTCTGCTGCTGCTGCGGCGGCTTCTTCTGCCTCGTGCAAGCGATCCTGGATCCCGTTGCTCTCTTCGCTGCTCTGCTCGATGGGGATCGTGTGGGCGGTTCGGTACAAGACGGATGTGGAATCCCACATGGAGAAGCTTCTGGAGAGGGAGAAGGAAGACGGGAAGCTGCTGGCGAAGTGCGTCGAGGAGTTGAAGAAAAAAGGTCTGGAGTTTGATCTGTTGAAGGAAGTGGACGCGCTGAGGAGGGCGAAGAGCTTGAGGGTGGAATCCAAGGCGGTGAAGAAGTGGTCTGCGAGGGATTTCGCGACCCTGTTCTTCTTTACCGTTGCCTGCCTCGTTCTGGGTTTAACTAGAGTAATATTGTGCAGCTAGATAATTGGCTAAGGGATTTCTCCCCGGTTTCTCTCTTGTTCTGGAGAATGCTCCGGTTTCGCCTTTTGTTTTATTGGGATGATCTGTTTCAATTTTGGGAAGGAAGATTCGAGGAATTTATGGGTAAATGGGGGATTGGTTGCAGCAGAATGCTCTGTTCTGCGTATTATTTTGTGTAATGGCTGGGAAGGATCCTGTAATAATATAATCAGATAACCTGACAAAGAATTGTTGAAGCTCCTGGCCTATTGGTTGATGATAGGGTTCTTCTTGGTCCTTACATTACCACTTACCAGCTATCCAACTTATAATACAGTAATTCAAATGACAGGAGCAGAGCATGCTATTATTCACAATTCTAATATTTCCAATTGCAGCAAGGGATACATTTTGAATAGACATCCGAGACAATTTGTAACTGTGCTCAATTCAATGTCGCCTGATAGCGTCGCTGCAACTGGGGACATCGATGGCCGAAGCGTTTCGGTTCTTCTGGGTTGAATTCAGAGAGCCTGGAATTAGCCAGCTCCCCTTCCCCATTGTTTTCCTGTAGGTACCAGGCCTGAAATTAGGGACCAAATCTTAATATGCCATACTCATTCAAGAAGATACATCTGTTCTTCATCCAATGTTTGGGAATTCGACGAAGGCTCTAGCAGAAGATGAAAGACAAACAAGGAGAAGGAAAGAGTGACAACACTTCAACGATTTCTGCACACGTTCAGTTTATGTTCGATTATGATCAGTTTGTTCAATTTGGTTTTCAGTTTGCAGCAAGTCTTAATGGTTTATCACACTCCAGGATGAGTCATATACTGCACTCTAAACAATGTAAGCTAATCTTTTATATGTTTCATATCCTCCAGGAAAGGAGAAAAACCATTCTCGTCTGAAGAACATAGTTCTTCGAGCAGACTACCAAAGGCCTGCTTTTGGAAATGGAATACAATTCCAGTCAAGCATGGTAAAATATTCTTGTTTATCTGTAACTTGCACAAGTATGCAAACGCTGCTAACCTGCAAAATGGAGGACAAAAACCATTCTCCTCTGTAGAACATAATCTTGAGACTAGCAAGGACATGCTTTCAGAAATAGAATACAATATTGATCGATCATGGTAAAATCTTCTTCTCGATCTGTAATGCAAATGCTGCTAACCTGCAAGATGGACTTTTCCCCCCAATGTTCTGCTGATTTAAGCTAGCATTCTCTTGACTGACTTAGGCTTGATGGGTTGGGTTTGTTAGTCACTATAGTTTTGGAACATGTCCACAGTCCACAGAAATCTCCCATCACAGCCAATACATATTTTAACAGAGACTCAAGCCTACTACATATATTAACAGACTAATGCCTACCAAGGGTGATGGTCACCTCAGAGGGGGATGGTGTCAGCGTGTGCGACGGCGAAGAATGGATGGTAAATTGGTCAGTGGTCGCAACCTAAAATCTCGCTGGCTGCCGCCCTCGTTGACTACTGCTTTGCCTCGACCGTGACCTCCAAGAAGGGGTTGATCAGGGGTACCGGTCGAGTCTTCGTTGCCAGAATCAACGTTAGAGGGCCGTCCAAGCACTGCTTCTTGTGATCGGTGTTGCACTGTAGGAGAACTGAACCCACCCGTCCCCTGGGAATCGGTAGAGCCAAACTGAGAAAATTCAGAGCCACCATGTCCACCTCCAAGAAGGGGCTGATCAGGGGTACCGGTCGAGACTTCATTGACAGAATCAACGTTAGAGGGCCGTCCAAGCGCTGGTTCTTGTGATCGGTGTCGCACTATACGAGAACTGAACCCACCCGTTTCCTGGGAATGAGTAGAAACAACCTGAGAAAATCCAGATCCACCATGTCCACCTCCTGGCAGCGAACAAAGTTGAGAAGTTGGAGAGGGAGTCACATGCTGACTTTGACTTCCAAATCCACCATGATTTTCTGGAATGCTTGTTGCATGATGAGCAGATGGTTGAGTTGGCTCGCAGTTTCCCCTACTAGATCCATGACCAGAAGATGAAACTTGCAGAGGCTCCGGTATTTGTAGTTGTTGTTCATGTTCCTCGTTAGCTCGACCACAAGCTCTCCTCTTTTGTTGTCTTCTTTCTTGTTGTGCAGGTGGCACATAATCTGGGTAAACTAGATACCCCTGTCGATGTGGTGCTTCGTCTAGTAATATGCCCCCAAGTTCCCGTGCATCTCCATCACCAACCAACATGCAATTCTTCAGGAGTTGATCCAGACTTTGGACAGTAGCTGCATTTAAAGGATCTCCCGACCTTGTAAACTGGCGTGCATGTTCCAGTATATCATTCTACAATGCACAAGCTTTTCAAATGTTAGTAAATATTGGTTTAGAAGTAACTAGTATATAATGAGACAAGCAAAGACATCTGCAGCTGTTCGAGATCAAAGCTTTAAGAGGATTTCAAACTTCTTGACAAGTTGACTGAGTTGGTTCAATTGCCTAACATTGAAGTGCATCTCAATTTGACAAGTGAAAATCACTTCTCCAGCGACGACTCTACCTAGCTAACTGAGCACCCGAAAGAAGATGAGTGGCTTATCCAGAATTCAGCATCAGAGTTTCAGTTTTTGCATACACAGTAATATTCGAAGGAAAAAAAATAGATCCATTCTACGATAGCTCATTTACTTATTACGTAAAACCAAAAAGTTTCATGAACATGAAATAGATTTATGAGAACTCAATGAGATTGTGGCTTACCATGGTTTCAAGTTGGCCAGCATCGTATGTGATGAACCGTCGTGTAATATGCCTATACCACTCCATGTAAGCGGCATGATAATGCATACTGTGTCTAGGGATTGGATCACCACAAATTCTATGTTCTTCAATCTCTTCCCAATACTGGATGTACAAGGAATGGTGCTCCGGCCAATCATTCTCTTGTGCACGGTTATCTTTTTTCAATAGTGTCTCTACTTCATTCTTCGTCTCCACCACAGTTGGGATGTGTTGCAAAAGGTTGAACTGACGCATTACACGATCTGGATGGTGCCATGCGACGCTGTGGAAGCATATCAGTGGAGTGACACATACCCAAATGGTTCTGAACTGATGCTCTTCTAACATATATGGATTCCACTGAAACAACATAATTGAAAATCAATGAAATTAAATGTAAGGATTTATCAAATTACAAATAATAACCAAATCTGAAATGCTCACCACAAAATCATCAGTTGTGTCAAGGAATCTTCGATGATCCCTTACATGCATTTTTGGTGCAGCTTTCTTCGGATTGGTCCATCTACGTTGTGTACATGACATATAATAGCAGTGAGTTACCAAGGAGAAGAAATAACGAAGCGAAAGGGGAAAAAATGCAATTACCTTAGTCCAAACGGTGAGGCGGGACTATAGGGCAGAACAGGAATAGGAGCAATACTTGGTAATCTTTGCCACGCCCATAACTGAATCAGGATGTAACATCCAGCCAAATCCCCACAAGTATTACCACCGGTTGATCCATAGCCAAGGACGGTTCTGCCCATCTCGTGGTACGTATTAGAAAGGACTGCGGACCCCCATGAGCACCTACATGCCAAATCCCAGTTCCTCAAGATCCACAAGTAGTTGCAAGTCACATTTGCTCCCGAACGATTGGGAAATAAAACCCCCCCGATTAGTGATAACATGTAAGCAAGAGCATATCTATCCACATCAGCTTTTCCAGCATCTTCAGGAAGAGAGTCAAACGCATGACGTAACCACTTCATGTTTAGTCTAGTGCCCTCAAGATTACTGCCCCCAGGATTCACTCCCAAACACTCTTCACACATCTTCTGCACTGAATTTGTTTGAGATTTGTCTGTTTTCGTGGTTACTGGCAACCCCTCAACTCTCAGCCCTAGAATCATCTCTACATCTTGAAGAGAAATAGTACACTCTCCCGTACGAAAGTGGAACGTGGACGTTTCTGGACGCCACCTCTCAACAACTGCAGTGATCAACGCAGCATCGAGATGAATCTTCGAGATCGGTTTAATACTAGCAAACCCGATGCTTTCTAAAGCATCTTGGTATCGATCATCATACTTCACTATCGCCTGATCCCGTAATTTGAAACTTCCTAGCATCTATAATGAGCACAGATAAAAACAAAGAAACAATGTAAGATCTTAAATCTGCACAAAACACATCTTCAAACTCAAAGTTCAGAGGAATTACAGCAAGCAAGGGTGGGCAAACTCAAAACTGTTCTCAATGTTAGAAGTCTTAACTTCTCTTCTCTACAAACTACAAATAGACCACCTCCTTTTACATACATATGGACAGGTTAATTTCATCACCTTCATATAAGTTAGAAGGGAAACATACCTGGTTAAGCCAAACACGTTCACAACGATGGTCACCTGCCCAAAGTACAGATTTATCGATTGGCCCGGGATTCACTCCTCGTGGTGGAGTGAAACTCGTAGGATCCATCTCTGAGAACAATAAAATGAATACTGATCAGTGAAATTGTTTGATGATATCAAGTAGAACTAGAGCATCATTTCCAAAAGGATAATAATCTAATGTGAACTAATACTCTCTGTTTCTGTTTCTGTCTCAGAGGGAGTTGGGAACATTCTAATTGATTAATCAAACAATTGTTAACATGCATAAACACGAAGCCGAAGCATAAGTGAAATTAGAAAATCTAAGAGCTTTAGCTGAAGATTGTGTTCTGTTAGTTGGATTGCTCAGGAGAAGTGATTTGCTACAGATGTTTTCGCCCTAGTTTCTTCATTGAGATCAATTGCCGTTTCAAATGTGCGACTTTCACCCTACATTGTTATTGCTAACTACGCATCGAAATTCAACCTTTCTTTTCTTTCACACTTTCCTTCTGAGTTCTGAGACAAAGGAAGCAGCTGCCATTAGTTGTGTTACTGGTTTTTAACTACCCATCAAACGCAGGGTTCAATTGATCACCTTCCTCTATATATACATGCACTGAGAGAGATCAACAAGATCGAGAAATGTTAAGTCATCATTATCTTATCAGGCTATCACTGACACTATACACAACTGCATACATATAGGCACCTTCAGGCTTCAATATCCCTAAATCTTGCATCCCAACCATGGTACATTAACTCCTGTCATTGCCAAGATAACCCTAAACCCTACTGAAATTAAGCTTAACCCACTGTAATTTTGGTAAAACTGAGGGCCGGTGAGCTCCACCGTCCTCGCCCACCACTGGCGACATCGAGTTTCGAAAAGACTCTGAAAACATTACCTGGTTCCTGGCTACAGGGGAAGAAGGTCGAGGGACCGCCGATGAACTGCCCGAGAAGAAGGAGCCTCGGGGACGGGAACTGCCGGAGAAGGGTCGGAGCGGCACGCGGGACGGTGGGGGAGCCGCCGAAGGTTTCTCGCGCGCGTTTGAGTGACTACGGAGAGGAGGTTTGAGAAAGGGAAGAGGAGGCGAATTACGTGCTATGCATAAACGACGTCGTTATACCGCACGTCCATTGGTTTAAACTTTAAACGCACCTTAAACCGGCCGAACCAGTGAAACAAATGATAGTTGCAATGAAATCATGGTATATTAATATGGAAAAAACTATATTCAGTCTTCTAAGTTCTAATCTTTCTAATTACAGCAAGGGATACAATCCTCCCTTTTTAAGGCTTTGACATAGCAATCCCTCATTTCCCCTCCTATGTGACTTTTGGCAAGTGTAAACTATCTATCGACCTTCTCCAATGATCCCATGAAGCATGGGCTTCGAGGCATTGTGTGGAGAAACCTCGGGATCGGCCACCATGGATGTGCTCGTGGATGAAGTGTAATGGCTGGTATCTGTAGTGCCTTTGGTCGCAATGTCGCTCATGAAGCTGCCAGTCGTATCGTCGTACCTCCAATCGGTTAGATATCCGGGCCTAGATGTAACAGTGCTCACTTCGATGTCGCCTGATAGCATTGCCACAACCCGGGACATCGATGGCCTCAGCGAAGGGGAAGCTTGCGTGCAGAGGAGAGCGATTCCTACGAAGCGTTTCAGTTCTTCTTCGTCAAATTCGGAGAGCCTGGAGTCTGCAAGCTCTACTTCCCGGTTGTTTTCGTGTAGGTACCAGGCCTGCAAAATAGGGACAAGTCAGACTAATAGGTCCAACACAAACACTAGTAAAGTCTATGGCTCTACAGAAGAAAGAAAAAAGAGAACGAACATTAACACACCAAATCTTAATGAATAAGCCATACCCATTCAAGAAGGTACATCTTTTCGTCATTCAAAGTTGGGTCTGAATTAGGCCTCCCGCTTACAACCTCCAGAGCTACCACTCCAAAGGCAAAGACATCAGCTTTCTCCGTAAGGTGTCCACGCATGGCGTATTCAGGAGCTAGATATCCTCTGCAATCAAACAATCATGGAAGTTTAGCGACAGATATAACAAATAACGGATTATGAAACAAAGAACAGATATTCTTTCAGGGCAACTTCCTACATTGTTCCTGCAACACGGGTGCTGATGTGCGTCTTCTTATCATCATAGAGTTTAGCCAACCCAAAATCAGAGATCTTGGGGACCAGCTCTGAATCAAGCAAGATGTTGCTGGCTTTCACGTCTCTATGCACGATTCTCAGCCTTGACTCTTCATGGAGATATGCTAGACCCCTCGCGACTCCCAAGCAGACATCGTAACGAGTCGGCCAGTCGAGGTTCAGGCTGCTTTCACCTGCATCATACAAACCACATAAGTATGCAAGAGGGTTTGAGCACTGAATAGTATAAAGTAAAAGGGTAATGAGTTATGTGTTCCATACCAAAGAGTGCTTTGTCGAGACTTTTGTTCTCGAGATATTCATAGACGAGAAGCCTGTTTTCTCCCTCAATGCAGCATCCATACAGCTTCACGAGGTTGCGATGCTGCACGGCAGATATAGTGGCAATCTCTGTGATAAACTGGCTCTTTCCTTGGTGAGATTGAACTGACAACTGCTTCACTGCAATTACTCTACCATCATCAAGCTTTCCCTGTTCGTTTACAAGAAATTAGTCAATGGCAACATGTATGAATAGCTGATTTGCTTGTGATATACAATTGTGTACCATGTAAACGGGTCCAAATCCTCCTTCTCCAAGCTTGTTTGAAGGACTGAAGTCATGTGTGGCCCCCCTCAGCTCGGCGTAACTGAAAGTGTAAGGTCTGTTATCTATCCCTTGGAGCTCTGCAAATACAAACAGAAACAAAAACACAATTCAAACACCTCCGCTAGACTCTTTGAAGTGAAAAAAAGTACCCAATTTGATGTGCATGGCTACTGGGTAGGTGGATATGTTTCGGGGTTTGATTACCTTCATCTTCGAAGGCTCTTTGCCTTCTCTTTCTCCGAATAATAACGATCATTACAATAGCTAATATCGAGCATGGAACCAAGACACCTATGATAATCCCAACGATCATCCCCGTCTTGTTATCATTTCCACCACTGTCTGTGCTTGGAGGAATGTCAGTAACAGTTGGTACGAAATCTGCATTTAGAATTTATAACTCATGATTTAGCAACCTGCTATATCCTTCTGTTGAGTAAAGAGATAAGCTTTCGGCATATATTTACCTGGGAGAGCACTGATTGCTGAAATAGAAGGGCCATATACACCTTGTGCAGGAATGCAACAAGTACCTTTTCCAGCCCAGTACAAATGGATGTCCATATAATTCTCTGAAACCCGGACTGTAAACTGCCTCTGAACAGCACGGGTTGAGACTCCTCCTGCTGCACTTCTTATGTCGAAATCCCTCAAAACACGAGTTCCCTGGGATCGAAAAACAATACGTTGTTCGTATCAGAAAGGTGGTAGCCAGCCATTTCCTTTAGTACATACAGAAGAAAAAGAGTCACCTGGATATAGACATCAAACATCCTTCTTCCGAGACTCCTCCAAGTGTTACCGTTCTCAATGGTGGTCTCAGCAAACTGAAGTGTGACGTTGTAGTTACCATTCTCCAGCCCCATGCCATAGTATCTCAGAGATGAAGCAGAGAGACGTGCCGTCTGAAACAGCTCTGGGTCTAGAGTGTTGGTGAACTGAGAGGATGAAAATCTTGTGTACTGAGGATTGTTGTTTCCTGCAAACAAGCCCACGTTACTGACTCCCCATCTGTTTGTTCCTGTCACAAAATATGTTGCAGGACCAAGAGTCTCATTGTCCCTTTCGTAGGTCAGCCGTGGACTAGCGGTTGTAATGGCTGGACCACCACACTTCACTGAAAATTGGGAATCTGTATGTAGCAAACCGAAAAGTATTAAACACCTAACTTCAAAACAAGGAGTTTCTGTTTAAAGCCACTTACAGATTGGATTATTTCTGTTGCAGGGGAACCCTTGTTGAAGGCAATGAATCCCAGAAGGCAGACCATTAGTGTTTGAAGGATCTATTGTGAAGTTGTTGAATACTATATTCCTGCAAATATATCATAAAGATGCCAACTTGAGAAGTTGTTAATAGTACACATTCAAAACCACGTGCAATGCATTGAATTGGTAATAAGGATCCGATGACCGTCGAATCTAAACAACTTACAGCTGAAGATTTGTTCCATTTGTCCAAGAAGGTAAGGGCCCTCCCAAGTTATTGTATGAAACATCTCTGCCACCACAAAATTACCAAAGTTCAATCAATACCATGGACAACTGAAAAACAAAATCAAGCATCGCAGGAGGGTTCAAAAGTATCAGCTACAAAGGTTGAGGTCAAAAGTTGGAAGATTTCCAGTTCATTATGGCACTAAATGTTAGTGTAATGCCTTGCCGTAGGGCATTGTTCAAGTTACTTACATATTGACAAGTGACAGACTTTTCTGAGCAGGAAGAGTACCGTTCAGGCTGTTATTCCCAAGAAACCTACACATGAAAGTAGCAAAATATATTTCCGTCTGAAAGTTCATGTCGATAAACGGGATACAAACTATAAAGAGTCCAAAGTAATAGTTGTTACAAGAAAGTGAGCGAGCTCATATTGAAAATTGCTGCTGGAATTGTTCCAGTGAGACGGTTGAAGCTCAAGTCCCTACAAACCCAATCAATGGAAGCACGTGTTAAGTATGGTGCAACTTTCTTTGCTCTTTCAGTAAGAAGATGGATTTGCCAACGAGAACAACTCACAGAAATCCCAAATTCGGATAGTCACCCCAAATGTCAGATGGAATTGTACCAGATATACTGCTATCTCTCAAGACCCTGCAGGAGACATGATAACAGATCGTTTCATTGTAAAATAGGAAAACTGAAGAAAGACAAGACTTGTGATGAGAAAAAGATTCAGGCTTACAAGGTGGACAGGGAAGTCAAACCCCCAATGAATCCCAGAGAAGAGGTTCCATTAGTAATACCACCTATCCTCCTGCATTTGTGCAAATGTGAAACCATTGGTGCTATTGGTGAAAACAGAAACTAACCTAGGTCGAGATAGGGAGGCAGAGGCAAACTTACAACTCTGTCAAATTAGTTAAGTTTGAGAAGGATGATGGTATTGGTCCGCTAAACGAGTTTCCTTCAAGCCGTCTGCAATCATGGAAAAATGATTTCAAGAGAAATTGAGTGATGGAGAAATGTTGATGATGGTAATAATAAGGGTAACTCACAAAGTTGTAAGGCTTCTCCAATTCCCTATGAAACTAGGAATAGTGCCTGTAAGAGCATTATCTGATCCCCACCTGAAGAGAACAAATAAATGGTATGATACCATCAGCAAAACTGAGATGAAATGGAGAATTTGACGAATTGTAAGAAAAGGAATCACCATCCACAGCAATGCACTTACACAGTCTCCATCCTAGTCAAATTAGCAAACGTCGAAGGAATTGGGCCACTAACTCCAGCACTATCAAAATACCTTTGAATGTAGTAACAAGTAGTTTTAGTTCCAAGGCCATATCATAATCATTCATTTTCAATCGTTAAACAATTCTATCAATGAAGTAGCATGACTCACATTTGTTGGAGCCTCGACAAAGTCCCCAGCTCAGATGGCAAGGAACCTGTGAAGTTGTTTGATCCAAACCCACTTTACCACGTAACCAAATCAGTAAGCAAATGACAGCATTTATTCCAACTTAATCCATCCCCGAAATCGGGTCATGGAAGAAGAAGCAGAAGAGCAAAACTTACAATGATCTTAAATCGGTAAGCAACCCAATCTCTCTAGGCACTGGCCCGGTGAATTGATTAGTGGCCAAATTCCTAGAGCACACAACCATTTCAGAGTTAGCAAAACTAAAACCATACCTTTTCAAGTCTACAGCCAACGAAGTGAAGATCAACAAACTTACAGCCACTGCATCCGCGTCAAATTTCCAATTGATGGAGACAAGGTTCCAGAAAGGAAATTCAGACCCAAGTTCCTGTTTTCATTTCATCACAACAAAACCAACCCAATGAACCCACCACATTCAGGAAAAAAAAATTGAGCCACCAACTGAACTGGGTATAAGAAGATGAAGAATTGGATCATTTAAGGTGATGATTGGTATGAGAGCTTTACAGATTGGTGAGCAAGGTGAGACTCCACAGCTCGTCAGGTATTGGACCAGCAATATCCATAGACGATACTTTCCTGCAAATTACGAACACAAATCAACAACAAAGATGATTACTTTATAGAGCAACCGCACAAAATCGGTCAAAAGACAGAACAAAGAGGTGGGTACAAACAGGGCGGTGATGCGGCAAACGGTGGAGGAATTGAAAGTGCAGTCGCACTTGATGAAAGGGTTGAAAGCTTGCTCGTCGATGGTGGGACTTGAGCCCAGAGCCGATCCACTGCAGAGCTCGCCGCTTATGTTCCATTGCCCCGGTTGCGCTTCGATTCCCCATCTCTCGAAAATGGCGTTCAATGCTCTTGCTGCATTACAATTACAAAACCCCAAATGAATGAGAACGAAATTTCTTTCCCTAGCAAGATGTCAATCGACTCCATAGTTCCCGCGGAAAACCTTCAACTACACGAATGGTCACTTAAACTAACAGTCGTTAGGGCCCATTACGAATAGCCCACAATGACAATGGCCCAATCGCTCAGGAGACCGAGGCTTCAGTGGGAACGAGAAAGCGACGAGCCGCCACGTGTCCATGACTCAGCAATTGCGTTTAATTTAATATCGACCACCGTCTCTCCGACCAAGGCAGCAGACGCCACAAAGAATAATCATCCACTTGTTAACGTCGGTGATTTCAGATCTCAGACGACCGGCGAAGGCTTGATCGGAAGACTGAGAACCAATTTCTTAATATACAGAGGCAGAGCAGAAAACAGGGGAATTGTAATTGCAAAGAGGGGGAGAAGGGCGCCTACCTTCGTCGGGATCAGTGGTAGCACGAGTCTGATTCTGTGCAAGTGCTAATTGGACGACGCCGGCGATGGAAACGGCATAAACAACGGCGACGAGTAGCTGTGCAGCTGAATACGGAGATGCAATCGACATGAGTTTATCCGGTGACAAACTCAGAGATAATTTGATGGCAGAGTGAGAGGAGGAGGCTGGAAAACAGGGGATTCGATGTTAGCCAAAATTGAAGGAGGGTTATTTGACTTGCTTATATTCAACTGTGACAGAGAAAATTATAAAGCAATAAACTAATACAGTGCTTTTGAAAAGTCGTGACTACAGTGTCAACTTGGCGAAGGCTCTCCGGACAACAAAAACCTTGGTCTCTCATTATCTTAATTCAGACGAGGTGGGAAGGACCCTAGAAAAGGACACGTGGGTTTGACTCTTTTCGATCCTTCTGGTAAATTCAGAGAGAGGGAGAGAGCCATTGGTGTTTGCAGAAACAGAGGCTCTGTAAATTGCGATTATTTCCTTCCTCTGTTCCATTGATTGAGAAATCTTAGCTAGCTACTGTAAGCATTGGAGAGTATGTACATCCAGGACCAGGAGTATTGAATACCGGGTACGTTCTTTCTTTACTTGGAGGATTGTAGCCTAAGGATCGAAACAGCAAGGCCCGAAGGAAAAACTTGGATTGATTTTGTCAATCCTCTGTTTCTGCCTCTGTAGTCTGTCCTTGCAACGTGAAATGGTTGGTTGGAACGATGGATCAATTCAGGTGAATTTTAAGCCTTTACTATCGCGATCGATTCAGGCCCATCTCCTACGTATCTCTATTGCCCAATTCTTACAAAGTTGGGCCTCCTTTTCTAGTCAATGACCTGGAACCCAGCCCAAATGATACTGTGGATATAGGTTACCTAACACCCATATGTATCCTTATTCATCTTTCTTTGGGCCATTTCGCTTCATGAAACGTTGGGCTTGCCAACAGATCCAGCAACAAAACTACAACTTTGAGATTGGGCTCTGAAGTCCCGGGTCCATGAGAGTACAAAATTGGTTGCAGTTTGGCCCATCAAAAGTCTTTACCTTTGCGGTCGTCAAATTTTTTTTTTTATGGGAAACCTTTGCGGTCGTCATTGCCAAACTCGTTTGTGGATTTTTCTTTTGCTTAAAAAAAACTCAAACTCCATGTGTTCCCATTTTTGCTCCAGTTTACTATTCAACAATAATTTTCCATAACAAGATGAAGAGATAAAAAAAGGTTTGCTGCTTCTGTATGCATTGGAAAGCAACGATAACAAAAGAGGGGGAGATTGATTGGTTATATCTACAAACAAATCCTGACGAGGAGATATAAAGCGAACACAAAAGGAAGACGATGGTGGTAGTGATGATGATAACGATAATAATAATAAGAATAATGAAGTATAATCCTTTAAGTAATTCGCTTTCCCTTTCCACTTCATTCCAGCACATAACAGACGCACTAAGCTACTAGTAGTAGTCTACAAGATAGAAAAGTCAAAAGTCGCCAATTTCTGCTCGAGAGGCTCCACCATTGTTGACTCTCTGTGTAAAGCTAAGAGTGGTTCCATGAAGTGTTAATCTGGCTTAAAACAGATGATTTGTCGTCAAGTGGAAGTTATGGAATCTTGTGTTGATGAATTATATAATATTCTTTTTTACGTGTTCATAAAAACTAATCAACACATATTTTGTTGATGAATCATGTAAATTTATGTATTTTTTATTTTTTTCTGGTAATCGTTGTCTTTCTTATTTTTGTCGATTTACAACAGTAACTAATGGGCCGCCTTTCCACTTCATGTACACATATAATATAATTTTACTTCCTCTGATATTTATCTGCTTACCCTATCCTTTCCACCTCCCAAAATGCATATTCAAATGTCGTTTCGTGATCATGGCGGACTGGTAGGTTCCAAGGCAGTGGGGTCGCCGGCAGCAGAGAGGCCAAATTTGGCCGGCGGGATAGTGGAGGATCGATATCTATAAAAAAGACAAAGCGTGGGCCTTGCATGCCTTTGTACTCAGTACGGAGAGTTGGACGGATAGCTCATCGTTTCCACCCAAAATTCCACTCTGACTCATCCATCGGAGTCTATAATATATATTACCGGTCGTATCGTGACGTTTACTCACACACCAAAACAATAATTCAACTATTGTTTGTTTATAATATTGTCAAGTTGCATCATGTCCTGCCTTAGAGGTAGTGAAACCATTCATCATCCATACTCTTGTGACTTTCCAAGTGTTGAAGCCGACATGAAGATCATTTGCACACACACAAAAAAAAAAAAAAGGAATTTTCTGATTTGTATGAAATGAATATTCTCCACGATATATAATTGAGGTGACAATTGGTCGTGTTGCATTGGACGGATGACGGATCCAAATAGTCGTACTCTTTCATTACCTTTTGTGACCACCCTCTGCAAGACCTAGCTAGTCAATATTGACGGGAGGCGGAAGATGTAAAACAATATTCATATGATATATTATAACTCGAAATCATTGACCTTACATGATCACGTATTATAACGAGATATTCATATTTTTTAATATCTAAATATATCCTACATGTTGTGAATCGATTTTATAAATTAAGAACCATAAAGCGTGATGTAATGTTTGTCCTCTTTCTCGCTTTGATTTTTGCTCGTGCTCTATAACCGACCGCCCGTTTATCGCTTTTTTTCAACCACCCAAACCTCTCACAATCAAAGTTACTAGTCACTTAATTCTGAGGCAAGAACGTCCGAATATCACCCTCTACATACACTCAAACTGCCCAAAAATTGCAAGGTACGTTTACAGCCAGTACATCAAGCTAAGCACTCTCCCATCCCATGTGATAATTTAGTACACCGAACGTACGTACCCAAAAGAAACGGGTCCAAAATCACACAAGGGAAAGGAAAGAGACAGCAAATCGTGGGAAATCGATCATCATCGTCGTCATAAATATCTCTGGCTAGTTAATAACACCACAACCGCCGCTTGTCCTCTCTCGCTAGTTAGATCTTTTTTTCTTTGTGCCTCGACGACTCCGCATATAACGACGGACCGCATGGCGCCATTGTTAGATTAGATTGAGCACGGCAGTACCGTAGTGTAGGTACGGTTGACCCGTACGTACGGCCTTACGTACCCACAGCTCTCAATCTGACAAAACAATGTGCTGCTGCTGCTGCTGCTGCATCCATCGCCATTAATGCAATGATCCGCCCCACCCACTGGCGGTCCAGCCAGCCAGGCAGCCATTAATTTCCTTATTATTACAGAAAAGAAAAAGTCGGGTTGGATCTAGCTACTGGTCCAGTTCCATTTCGTGTCTAGCATTAACTACGGTCCGACCCCACTATATATGGGCCCGGCGGACATGGACATGACCGGCCCGACCCCGACGGCCCATTTTGTTTTCGTGGAAAGAACAGCAAGAGAGCTGGAGCACTGGAGGATGAAGGGTCCGGTCAGGTAAGTTATCAAGTGGGCAGCGGTGGCGGGTCACAGGAGACGAAGTTGCTGCCTATGCTTCTTCTTGGGAGTGGAATGGAGGGAACACGCGCAAGTGTGTCTTTGGTTGGGTAGCCAACTACTATTCAATCAGTCTCATTCTTGAAATTGTGTGGTGATTAAATTTACTGGTCTCAACTAATTAATTATCAACTAATTAAATTTACTAGTGCAAAACATCAACAAGTGGTGAATGCCTGATAAATTCAAACGGGTGAGATGGACATAACAATTTCGTCGATGGCCACCATTAGGACAAGGTAGGGGGTGACGGTTACTACGACTCGATCATAATATCTCTTAAATTCAAGCATACATTTTTATCTCCGTGTAGATTCTTACCGTTCATAGACAACCTAAAGACTGAGAAAACACGATATTTCATACTACAACCGAAAAACTCACATCAAATTACCTAACCTGCCGCATGCATTCATGCACCGAGAGCAACTCTTTCCATCAAATTGATTCTTCCGTCCTCTGGAACTGGATGTGACATTTTCCTCTTTTCCCTATAGTAAATATCTCACCAAATCCACTTCCATTCGACTTCAAATCAGTTACTTAAAGCCCCAACCAAACCACCACCTAACCTTGCAACCCAGTGCCCAATTTCCCTATCTATATATTTCCCCCCTCTATTTTCTAGCCCCTTGTGTTATTTCCTCATTGATGTGTATTCGTAGCCGTCCATCATATATCTCATGTCGACCCCATTTACGTGCAAAATTTTCAACGCTACATACTACAACTAGTCCCCCAATTCTTTTCAACGAGACGCCCCATTCCGCCCGCAGCCCCCTTCTTTTTTAATCTTCTTCTCTACTAAAAGTCGCTACCATTCACTGTTTTAAGTCCAACTTCCATGCACGACGACAAAACAGAGGTTTAATTTTTACGACGTTTTATCCATACGTACTCCAGAAACTTCTGTCCAGATTTTACTTTTTCCTGCCTAACCTCTCCCACCTACTACAATAAGTAGTTACTACTTTTACTACTTGCTGCATGCGTGTCTTACTTTTTCCAACCCCTTCCGATCCGATGACTGATGAGTCATATATATATTTGAGTAAAAAGTATGGAATATTAGATGGGGCAAAGTTGTATAAGCATTATATTTCTCATACGTACTTATTACGTATTTTATATGCATTTTTCAACTACAATTTGCTCGGCCACGACTACATACCGGCCGGCCGAATAAGCCCACTCAACTCTTATTCACGATAGCAACAGAGGCGCAAAACCATGTGCAGTGAAAAGTCATAAATCGAAATCACTTGAACAACTCCACGTCTAAGGGTTTGTACAAGGATTAATTTGAACTAACTCCAAAAGGGCAGGCATATTACAAAACAACACAAGTGCAACCCTAGCTAAAGCTCAATAATCAACCTTTTGATGTAATACCATCGGTTGCTTTCTCAATATCATGGTATGGGACGTCACTTGGCTAGCTAGCAAGCTGTTGCCTCGTTGCATACTATAGCTTTACAGCGAAACCAAAAGGTGCGTACGTACGTAGTGTATTAGTTGTTGCAGTCGCTTGCTGATTGCTATATCGATCTGTGCGGTGTGACGTTACATTGTTGGCCTGAGACTGGGAGTAGTTAATTATAGTATTTGCTGAACCGTACACTGGCCTTTGTCATACCGTATGGGTCGTGACATGGCGCCCAGCCCATCTTGCCGTTTAAAGCCAAGTGCTTTTTTTTTTCTCCCACTGCGAAAGGAAAAGCAGCTGTGGGACGAGATAGAGAGATCCGCTGACTCGTATTCACTAGTCACGACCCACCATACCCAACG